GTTGTGGCCCAGTCTTCCAGGAGCATTTGAGTGCTTTGCCCTGGGAATAGTTTGAAATTACTGACTTGGGCGTACGTGTAATTTAACTTTCCTGCCAGGTAAATCCAGTTCTTGTATGCAGCAGGGTTTAACAGGAAACCCAGTCTTTCATAAACCTCGGCGCTTACATCTCTTAACATAACTCCATTTCCTACAAAGAGAAACGCGCATAATGTAAATGTAATGTGTGACATCACGCGTGGCCGGTATATAGAAATATACTCTGAGGTACTGAAGCATGAATTGTGATGTTTACATTTGTAAACACAAAACACTGAGAAATAAAATGTCCATAAGAATTCAGCAGCAAATTAAACTTACGGCGGTTGCATGTGACAAATGTAAAATCATCACTGTTGTCTTTAGAATGGGAACTTGGGCCTTCCCGACCATCCGTAACGCAATCCTGTGCTCGTGTCTTGTTTTGAAGACTAACTTCGCTCAATGTGATTTTATTATTGTTGAGTAACCCACATTCAGCAAGCTTTCTACCCTGAAAGGCTTGAATTTTTTTGACGAGATCTTTTCGCTTGATCTGTGTCAGGAGATCTTCGAGAAGTTGGCAATTGTTGCTGCAAAGTTCATTCCTTTGTTCCAGGTCCAGCATCAAATCCATTGGGTCTCTGATGTCCTCTAACTCTTTCGCTGTCAACAAATCACGTAACAAATACTTCAAGGAACTTAAATTTTCAGTTGTTAGTTCTTGACACAGCGAAAAGAGGACCTTACGAAACTCTGGGATACACGACATCTTGGAGAAGAAAGAATCGGCCACCGCACACGTGCGAAGCAGAGAAGAAGGGTCCAGGGGGCTTCCCTTATCCCACAATGCACTGCGCAACTAAGTTGTGCGGCGCCGAGACCATAACTTGCTGTTTTTGTGTCGACTCCTTTCAAGGCCATCGGGCTCCAGTTCCATGGTAGATGTTTTTCCAAGGAAAACCTCATCCTGGGTATCAAGTGCGCAGTTCTATTTGTTATGGCCTACCAACCTCGTCAGACGAGCTAAATTATTCTTTTTTTATTTTGGTGAGAGGGATTGGGAACGCATTCGCTTGAGGGACAAGATCAGTGAGATTCTTTATTATCTAAGCCGATTCCTATTACTATCAGAAAGGGCGTGATGGCGACGTGTTCAGAAAAAGAAACATAAATACTGGAAGAAAAATAAAACACTTTCGATCAGAAGGGAAGAAAAGACAAAGAGAGAAATTATTTTTATCGCGCAGTTATCAAGACTACCTACGATTGTTATTAAGAAGCTGTCGGTCAGTTTAGCTTGAATACGTATTTACTTTTGCCTTCAATAGAATCCTTCAAGGTTGTTTGTCTTCGATTTGTCTTGTTTGGGTGAATATTTTGACTCTGGAATGCCGCTGATAACAACTATCTCCTGGCATCCATCCAGAGCCTTCTGCGGCCGGCCCACTTCCCGGGGGGTACTCCCGGCCTATAAGACGGGGCTCCTCCCGAAAGAGTACCTTCTTAAAGCTTCAGGCATATAAAAAGGTTTTGTAGGGATTTCAGTAATTGAAGTACATTATAGTATAGGGAAATCTGTCATTTTAGTTGGTAAAAAAAAAAACAACGAAACTAAAAAGGGCGGACAGATGCATTCTATGGCTGTGGAAAAGTCAAGAAACCTCCTGTTTTTGTTATCGGCTCCTGGTTTTGTGACTGAATCACATTTAAAAACAGTGAATTTTCAGCAGCTGAAAGGGACGCAGTGCACCATGAATCTTTCCTTTCCTCTTAAAAGAAGGTGTTAAAAGATATCACAAGGTGACCAAGAGACCCCCGTCAACTTTCCCGTTTAGCTCCGATGTAAGTCTGGTTGAGAGCGCGTAAACTGTAATAATCTAAAGCGCAAGACTGAACCCTAGCGAAGGCAAACGGCAGACTAATCCAAACTGAGCAAAGCGATAAACAGCGAAAACAAATGATCGACATGGGATAAACTTTCAAATTAATCTAATATTCATATATAATATTTTCAAGAACGTCTGCGTAGGAGGTTTTTCTTTTTCTTAGAGAAAAAAACAGGAAGACTAAGCAAAATACAAAACATACCTGAGCACCTATTGAAGGAAACCATGGGATATCAAAGGCTGTAATTAATTCAATTCGCGCTTCAATCGTTATGTTCTTTTGTCGCAAACTCATTATTACACAAAAACATACACAAAAAACAAGGAAAATAAAACGTTAAACCAGGGATATGAAATAAGCTGCAACATGTATCACTNCTTTGCTCCTTTCCCTCTATCCAGGAGATACGCGCCAAAGGACTAATGTTGGAAGCGAAAGAAAGCTTGTTTCTAGTGAAGACCTTTCCAAGACTGGCTAGTGGTCAAATTGCTTTGGAAACAGAAACCTCAGACAGCGAAGATTACTTCTTAGATGTTGTGGACCTGGTTGCCGACGAAGAAGAACTGTTTGGGGATTTTTTTCAGTAACTCCGGAATACGCAGTGTAAGAACGTTATTTACAGTTTTATGGTGTTTCCAGAAGTGACAAACAAACGGATAAAAAGAACTTGATTTCGCCCATTACAACGTAAGGTTTTTGTTTTTTTTTGTATGTGTTTGGTTATGTTCAAGACTGTTGCGCGCCCAAGCAATAAATTACCCGCGAAAAAGGGATCCAATAGCGTCTTCATTTTTTGACATGCCTGTCATCGGGTGCAGGACAGACAGCAGATATTTCAATGTACCGCGCCGATGCAGCGAAATAACTCTGATTAGCCACGTACGATTTCACCAAGAATGCGCCTTTTTCTTACTTTTGATGTTGTAATTCGATTGTGTTTTTCATGGAACCTGTGATAGCAAAATAAAAGGAAAAATTTCTGGTATACGTGTTTGAATTTCGCGCTAATCGTTCTTTGACCAATAAGATCTCTCATGGTAATTAAATTACTTGCTTCCGCTCGTAATTCTCCAACGGCTCCCTGAGCCGCGGGCCTATTGTTTTCGCTTTCCCTCGTAGGTGAAGCGTTACTTAATTCAATTCGCGCTTCAATCGTTATGTTCTTTTGTCGCAAACTCATTATTACACAAAAACATACACAAAAAACAAGGAAAATAAAACGTTAAACCAGGGATATGAAATAAGCTGCAACATGTATCACTATGCCGAGAGGTACTCAAATTGCCCCCTTCGGATACACGTCCTTCAAACAATGAGCAACTAATTAAACTAAGCGACGCCAAATTGAATGGTAGAGAGACGAGAAAATTTAAATTTCATGAACCATATTACATTTAGACCTCTTCATTCGCACGGCAACTTCTGCAGTTTTATTATTTTTGTTATTTTTATCATAATTCTTGGTCGAGAAAGCCAGACCCGCACAGACTCCCACCAACCATTTTTGGAAGGATTGTTGTAGATAGGAAAGTAGACATCACGATACAATTATTTAGATTGAATGCCATGAAATTATGGCATTTCGTTTAAGCAGCTGTAATTTACTTGTCTTTTGAACACTGTGGGTGTCAGCACTTCTGGTTAAATGAATAATAGTTGGATCTACAACTCCATCACCTTCAAATACGATTCCACACAATTTCTTCTGCTCCTCTCCCTTTCATTGAGTATATTACAGCAGTATTTTGACCACTGTCCCAACCGATTTTTTATGGTCCCATGGGGCAAAAATACCGTGGCTGAAATTCTATTTTCCCTAGCCCAAACATATACCAACCGCGTCTTTCGTTTTACATTAACCCTAAATGGAGAAGGCAGATGCTTTCTTGCAGTGCTATTAGTTTCCCATGGTAACACGCTGTCCATTTAAAGCCTCTCAGCCAAACCGACAACTAGCAGTGATCCAGCTTAAAACCTTGAAGAAAAAGGTAGGACATTTCTCAAGCTCTTTTCAAGAATACCTTCCCCATAACATGGAATGATACGGAAAGTTGACTTGGTGACACAGAGCATCCAAACATCATACAACGCTCAGTAATTCTTAATGCCGAGGACTGTCTCCAATACTTTCCTTTATTGTGTCTACAGTTAACTGAGGTGATTGAATGTATATGTTTCAACATTCTTCTGTTTCTTTGTTTGGTCTTGTTTGGTCAAGATCAAGGCTAAGGTGCAAGAGGAAGGTGCCGAACTTCTTTATGCTTTGCAGAGCCGACGGGAGTCACGCTTAAATATGATCGATTCTTTGATAATGTCACTGATGTTCTTTAGAGGTTTAAAACGAGTCTGAAACCAGCATAGGATGGCTCACTTCAGTCGTCTTTTTTCACTCTCACGAAAAATATGCATATTGTTTTCATTCAAAAAGCCCTTAAGCAACACTCCATTTTATTAGAAAACACCGCAGGTTATTAGGTGGTCTCTCAGAGTGACGAATACTGTCGCTGTACCGCGATTCAACAGTCACTACATCACGGCAGCAGCACTCGCTAGCTCACAGAGATCCTGTAATATGAAGCACTATGATAGCGAGAAAAAACTTGAAGGCAAAGCTGAAGAACATAGGTACTTTAATGACTTCCATTTTCGTGCTCAGTGACATTGGCATTCACAGTGACTGGAGAAATTTGGACCAATAATTCCTCGCTGTTAATCGCATTCAAATAATTTGCTATATAGCAGAATACTTTCTTCATCTATACTGTATATATTATCATTACAGTAAAACAAGCCCTGCTACTTCGGATACTTAAACAAACATTTCTAAATCCCCGTCAGATTTGGATGTGGTAGATCAAGATTCATTTCGTTTCATCAACATCATTTATATTTATTTATTGTTTATCGAATCATTAAGAAAACAAGCTTGTCTGTTTTTTCGCATCAGCTGGTGACGTGCTCTCCGTTTCTCTGTATCTGTCTTTTACAGTTTAATCAAGACCAAAGTGACTGAGTTTGTTCTTACTTACACGCAACTTGTATTCTTCCAAGCAATACCACAGACGCGACCACACCTCCAGAACTGCTGAGAAATGAGTACATTGGGCTCTGTAGAATCACTGTCTTCAAAGTCGAAGAAGAAGGACAAGGAAAACAAAGGTACGAAATTTAATTTACATCAAACAAACAATAAATGGAAAGTTGAATAATAAAATAGGCCAGTTAAAAAGAAAAGAAGCAACATACATTATACGGGCACAATAACTAACTAGTCCCTTACGCATTCTGCAATAGTATAACCCCAGCGGAAGCAGTAGAGGTTTTTTCGTTCTCTTGTTAGGTGTTATAGCAACAGAATAGCCGTGTGACTACTTATATCGTCGGAATAAATTATGGGTCATTTTAGTTGCGAACAAAAAATCGTGCTCGTGAAAATTGATGCAATCTCACAAAGGCCTTATTAAACCGAAACGTAGTTTAGTTCGGGGAAATTTAGACAGTTTTGCCAACCGGTTAGTGGCAATTTAACACGAAACGTTGGTTGTTGAAAAGTGGAAATACGTCCTATTTATAAGTTAAATATCTTTTATGGAAGAACTAATGTCAAGTTTGGAGCCAAAGTGTCCCGCTTTTAAAACCTTATTTTATGTGGTGTTCACATAACTCACAGGAGAACTTCTCAGCTACCTCGAGACCTGAATTGATAAAATATTGAAAAATACGAAGATAGTGAATTATATACATATATGAAAAGAGTTGTTTTTGTCTAATACCTAACTTGATGTGCCTGATGCAAACAGGCTTGCCTTGAGTATTTATCTTTTTAGATCAAAGCCATATTTATTCAGTAAATTGTTTATATATCAAGTGTCATTCTTAGCTGATACTCAGAAAGTTCTAGAACCCTAAAATCTTCCTAGAAACAACAACAAAAAAATATGATATGTCACTTTGTGTTTCGACGTGATTTCAAAAAAATTTTCGAATATGAACTATAAATATACGTAAATGATCACACTTCACATTTATATTCAAAATGTTTTGTGTTTACTCTTCATATGTTAGATCATGTTAATGAAGAGGTGAAACATTAAGATCAATTCGGGGACAGAGGCAGGTATCGGTTGGTCTAAATTCTTTTTTTCCGTCTTTTTGTTCCGTAAAAGGAAAGAAAGAGAAGAAAGAGAAAAGCAAAAAGAGAGATTCAAAGGCTGATTTAGAAACTGACGCCGAAGCTCGTGGTGAAACGACCAAATCAAAGAAGATGTTTGGCATTTTTCGAAAAGGGGGAAAGAAGTCCAAAGATCCACAACATGCGAGTTCTTCAGAGAGCTTGAATGTCACAAATTCAGCTGATTTCGGCAGCACTGCGAGTGATTTGTCGCTCATAGGATCAAGTGTATCAACAGAATCAACGACAGTAGAAAAAGTCGAACCTTCTCAACAAAATGCAGTAAACGAAAATGCAAATGTCAAATTACAAAGTATCGCTACCGAGAGTAAAATTGAACCAACACTCGCAGACTTTGTTTACCAAGGCAAAGAAAAGACGACTCCACGAAAAGCAGATAAAGACGACTCCTCGCCAAAACAACACAGAATCAGTGAGAAATTACAGGCAACACGGCAACCAGAAACTGACACCCTGCAACAGAAAACATCCATCAAGAAATCCCAAGAAGAATCGTTTGAGATACAAATGCAGTCATCTACCATCACCGTTAAACCAAACGAGGATAGAGGGAGTGGACCTAGAGATAGCGACCCGGATTACAAGGAGGAAAAAGATTTACCACAAGCCCACTCGCTGGAGGCAAAAGTGCAAAACGACACTCCATTCAATGCAGATG